ATCAAAACAGTTAACCTGAAGGCTATTCATATGCTGGATTGAACAGGGCAGTAACGTAGGGTTCAGAGAATGGCTGGTGTAGTCACTGAGAATGAATTGAGAGAAAGAACTGCTCCTGCAGCCATGGAAATGGTCATGGGGTGGTGGGAGGGGTGGTGCTGGGAGTGCAGTATGGAACGAGTGTCAGCCTGCCTCATGCTGTGACAACAGAATGCCACAGACTGGGTAACGCATAAAGAGTATAAATCTACTGACTCAGTACTAGAGGCTGGGAGACCAGGATTGAGGAGCCAGCTTATGCAGAGGGCCTTCTTGCTACATCATTGCACGACAGAAGGGCAAAGAGGGCAAGAGAGAGCGGAGGGGAGCTGAACTCCACCCAATCCCATGATAATGAGCCTATTTCTGCAATAACAGCATTAATCATAAACACCTTCCACGAGACCCCACCTCCCAACAGCACCACATGGGGGATGAAGTTGCCAACACATGAACTACTGGAAACACATACAGACCACCTCATTAAGTGTCAGCACATTGTTGAGCATGAGGAAAAAAAGGTTAAGAAGGGTCAGAGACTTTGATGTTTTAAGAAAAAAGAATGAGTTTGATAGATACAGACCCCTGTTTGAGCTACCTTGAATTAGAAGTGCCAGCAGAAGTTGAAGAGTAAACATCCCAAGAACAGTTAGCAATGCACGTTAGAAATTAATACAATAAATAAATAAATCTAGAGCTAGAATTTTTCTTATTTGAGAGAAGAGATTGAATAGGGAATTGAAGTACTTTTTATTTGAGAGTTCGTGAGGGGACATGAGGAATGTTTTACGGAGAACAATGGAGGCCAGGACTGGATGCTTGGAGAACACATGCATTTACAAGGTAGGACAGGGAAAGGAAATTCACTACCATACCACCACTGAACTCTGCACCCCATTGCCATTCAGAAAACGCACTCAAAAGTAATCAGAGGCAGCCGAGGTAGAGAGGCCAGGACTTCAGGGCTGGGGGAAGTGGAATCAGAAAGGCTGGACCAGCCTAATGGAAGTGATTTTGTTTGCAAACTGGAATGCTTACCTTCCAAAAAGAAAAGATCATGTGGCTGTGGATAAACATGTGTTTCCAGTTCAGAGTTCTTTCAAAACAATTTCCTGTAATAACCAGCCCCCACCACTCACAGCCACATGGCTTCTGATTTCTTAGCAGAAGATGTAATCAAGAGCCTGCTGCTCACCTCCCTGGAAGTACCCTTTCCCACAAAGTTGATGAGCACTCTTTACAGGAGCCCTCTACAAGCCTGAAGGATGCATTTGTGGCTTTGACATCTCTGTGGCCCCCAGGAAGAGAAACCATCAGACCTACAGTTCCACCAAACACTACATAATTCTGCATCTGGACCATCTGCCATGGACCAGAGGGTTCTTAACATGAAGTCAGTGAATGCAATCTTCTGTTATCCGGTACATGCATTTTTTAAGGGATGGTTTACCCATCCCTTCATCCTTAAAAGGCTGTCTTTCCTTAAAAATATAAGAACCACTTAGTGCATGGTACATTCATATACAATGGTAGAAGTTCCTGGAGGACAACATCCTTTATATATTTTGATGTCTTGGCCGAATGAATGGATAACAGTGCTACATTAGATGGGCCAGAGGGAATGATGAACTCCTCACATTGACTCTACTGCCTCTTGTTTGACTTGGCAAATATACCTAGACAGAAAACATAGTGGCTGGCGCCATGGCTCAATAGGCTAATCATCCGCCTGCAGCACCGGCACCCTGAGTTCTAGTCCTGGTCAGGGCTCCAGATTCTGTCCCAGTTGCTCCTCTTCCAGTCCAGCTCTCTGCTGTGGCCAGGGAGTGCAGTGGAGGATGGCCCAAGTGCTTGGGCCCTGCACACACATGGGAGACCAGGAGAAGCACCTGGCTCCTGGCTTCAGATCAGCGCGGTGCACCTGCCGCAGCAGCCATTGTGGGTGAACCAACGGAAAAGGAAGACCTTTCTCTCTGTCTCTGTCTCTCTCTCACTGTCCACTCTGCCTGTCCAAAAAAAAAAAAAAAACACACACACACATAGTTTCTCACAGTAGTGCCTCTGTCAGTATAACTAGTGGCTTATAGTGTGTGTTTCACAATCATTCTTTCTCTTAATCTCATGGATTAGAAATTAGTTTCTTCATTACACAAATGAGGAATCTAGGGCTGAGAGATTGTGTGTGACTTGCTAATGTTCACATGGGTGTTTTCAGACCTGGGACTTAAATCCAAGTCTGCTCTTGAAGTCTCTTATCTTCTCATCAGTTATCCAAGATTGGAGAGGCAGTTTACCTTAGTAGTTAAGTCCCTTTACACATGCTTTGGATTCAGTCTGGCTCTTGGACTTCCCAAATAACCTTGAGCAAGTTCCTCCCCTCTCAAAAGCTGCATTTCTACTTATAAAATGATAACAATACAAATTCCTACTTATGTGGTGGTTGCAAAGTTTAAGATAGTCCTCGTAGATACTTAACAAATGTTAGCTATTACTAACATGGTCTCATGGTAAATTCACTTGTAAGTAAAAATGCCTGTAAACCTTATAGACTTGACTCTGTATTCTGGAATGCTTATTTATTGGCAATAAGTTGGCATTTGCTTCATATAAATAAAATCCTTTTCTATCCTGAAATTTGATACTCATGTTAAATGCAGTGGTTTCTAATTAACTGTGTCGTTGACTGACAGATACACCTACCATAAAGTGAATTTAATTGTTTTGTCTTAGAGTAGCTAACATTAAATAAAAACAGTGAGGCCCAGGGTCGGTTCTTTACAGCACAGAAGTTAAGATGTATGTCAGGGGCCAGTGTTGTAACACAGTGGGTTAAGTCGCTGCCTGCGACACCAGCATCCCATATCGGAGGGCCTGTAGGAGTCCTGGCTGCTTCGTTCCCAATCCAACTCCCTGCTAATGCTCTTACGAAGGCAGCTGAAGATGACCCAAGTGCCCGAGTCTCTGCCACTCACATGGGGAGACCTGAATGGAGTTCCAGGCTCCTTGCTTTGACCTGGAGCAGCCCCAGCTGTTGTAGCCATTTGGGAAGTGAACCAGCAGATGAAAGATCAGTCAATCAGTGTTGTGTAATGATTAAGACCATGGGCTTTTGAATTTGACTTGGATGTAAGTTCCATGAAATAGTATTACATCCCATACATTAAATGCTGGCTAAGTCTTATGTCCTCTTTAAACTTAGAGGGGTCCATGGATCAGGAGGGAAAATGGCTCCATATGCTGTATGTCTGCCCTGTCCTGGCTTGTCTGCAGCGAGAATGCCGCCGTAGCTGCACAGTGCCAGTGGAGGCTGGGGTCAGCAGCCTGGCAGAACAGCTGTGCTCTTGGCACCTGGCTTCTGTGCCACTGCAGCATGAAGGACAGAGTCTGCCCAGCCGCAGTAGCTATCGCTTGAGTAGTGGAGGTGGTGGGAATCCATGTTCACGTAGGAGCTGGTGACACCATCCTAAACAAGCAGCAGTGACATCAGCCTGAACATGGGATGGGAGGTAGTCCGGGCAGGGGTGGGGGGTGTTGGGGGAGGAACCTGGGACTTTTCAGACAAGAAGACAACGCTTCTAACCTTAAAATGTGAAGGATTTAGAAGATGTTTTCAGGCAGTTCTCTGAAACAGGAATTACAGATATTACAGGACTCATTAAGATCTGCATAAAAAGCCTGTTGGAAACCTACTGCTCTTCAGTTAAATGTGTATGCACTCTGCTAATTGAGTAATGGAGACTGTTAATGCTCAACCCTAATTAAAATACAATTTTCCAAATGTGTTTGCTCAGTATCACTTTACATATGGTTTTAATGATGGATTTTTTTTAAAAAAAGTCAAGACTAAGCAAGTGACTTAATTGTTTGTATACACAATTTAGCTTTCTAGATGACGGCAGTGACAAAATGGGAGCATATATAGGACAAGCAATCCTGTCCCCCTTGTGTGCGAGTTGGGCTGAGATAGGACTTCTGGAGAAACCGAGGCATAAGAGGCAGACATAGTATTCAGAGATATACGGGCCCTGATGCTACTTTCTCCTCGCGTGACAGAGCATGGCCTTAAGCCCTTCCGGTTGGTTCACGTACCAGACTAGCCTGATTTTGGAGACATTCACTTAAACAGAATTACCCCTTTGTTGGTATCGGCTGACAAAACAACAAAAGTCTGAATAGCAGGACAGTGTTGCGGCAAGAATTCAGCTTCATTCCCAACTTGGGTAGGAGACTCTTCCCTGCCCAAAGATTGTCACGGAGAGCAGTAGCCTCTCAGGGAACCCAGCATGTAAGGAACAACCTACAAGGATGTGCTACGCCTGCGCCTTCTCTGGGTTACCACGTCTTGTGGACTCTGCAGCCTGGGCTGAGTAAAGTTGGACTTGTGACAGGTGTGTGTGTGAGATCTCTTCTCACCTGTGGGTGACCCAGCTGCAAGATGCATTCATTCTACAAAATGTAGGAAATGGGAAAGTGGCATTTTCAAATGCTTGACTTCAGTAGTCCATAATGAGCCCTGTACATATCTGATTTTCATCATGATGGTTCTGGACCCACATAGTTTTATGGAAGCTAGAGTAAGTTGGGTCAGGATCATGATCGAAATATATGGAGCAAGGCTGTGACAAACTGAGAAAGTAGCATCAGCAAACACGAGTTATACATCCTTGTTGTATATGCATGTATGCATAGTCTGAAGCTCATGGAGGTGAGATCCATGGCTATCTTATTACTGAAAGAATCCTCAGAACTTTCCAGTGTTACTGTTCATTTGGCTATTAATTGACCTTTTAAAAGCAGTACTTTTCAATATATCCTTTAATGGGGACTTTCATTATAAACACTGTGTCTACAAAACTTTGACCCACTTTATAACTTTACCAAGATATAATTCTTTATATATTTCTTCTATTTCTCTGAAATAATAATAGTTAATAATTCATATGTAAATATTTGTTTTGTAGGCTTGAAACTGTATTCCAATATGGCTTTGCTTGGACTCTTCTCTTTGCTGGTTCTGCAAAGTATGGCTTCAGGGGCCCCTTTCCCTGATGAAACCATTGCTGAGTTGTCAGTGAATATGTATAACCATCTTCGATCCACTGGGGAAGACGAAAATATCCTCTTCTCTCCACTGAGCATTGCCCTTGCAATGGGAATGATGGAACTTGGGGCCCAGGGGTCTACCCTGAGAGAAATCCGCCATTCAATGGGATATGATAGCCTGAAAAATGGTAAGTGTGCTTAGATTTGATTTCTCCAGACAGTTTGACTTTAGCTTTGAACTCAGTTGTGTTGTCTTATGCCAGAGGCAGCAATATTTACGAAGGAGAAGAAATAATCTCATTTAGATAATATGGCTAGGAGAAAGATAAAGCAATAAGAAAGATGTTGATTCTTAGCTCCATTTATGGCACAGTGAATCTAAGGAAATCACATCTTTTTAAAATCATTATTACTTAAATAAACCCCACTGTGATAAACAGCACTAAGCATGATTCTGAGGTTTCTAATCTAGAGGGGGAAAGCTTATATGCATCAATTATCACAGAAATAAATGAAAAATTATAACTGTTTTACATGCTGTATATAAAAAAAAAGCAACATGGTTTGGGCCAGCGCTATGGCACAGTAGGTTAATCCTCTACCTGTGGCGCTGGCATCCCATATGGGCGCTCTAGTCCCTGCTGTTCCTCTTCCAATCCAGCTCTCTGCTATGGTCTGAGAAAGCAGTAGAAGATGGCCCAAGAGCTTGGGCCCCAGCACTCACATGGGAGACTGGGAAGAATCACCTGACTCCTGGCTTTGGATTGGTGCAGCTCTGGCTGTTGTGGCCATTTGGGGAGTGAACCATCGGAAGGAAGACCTTTCTGTCTCTCTCTCTCTCTCTCTCTCTCTCTCTCCCACTGTCTGTAACTCTACCTATCAAATAAATAAATAAAATCTTTAAAAAAAAAACATGGTTCTTCAAGAATATCAGATATTTTGGCTTAAAGCCAATTGTATCTTTAAATGATATTAATGAATTTTTTTTGAAACAGTGTGTTATTATAAAAGTTATGTATGTAACAGAAAATTTCCAGCCAAAAATATTGTAATAACTTTGAAATTATGTAAATTTTATATTTTAATGCACCTAAGGTACAAGTGAATTAACTCATTTAAAAGTTAAGAACTGAAACAAGTTCTAATAGATTTTCTAGTTACAAGACTTTTTAAAGGTCCAATGAGAGTAAAATTTAGAGAAATATCATGAATTTTATGCAATATAATTAAACTTAGTTCTTCCTGATAATTATAAAATAAAACTAATTTAATGAAACTAACCCGAATACTTTGAAAGAAAATAACATAAAACATCTCTATTTTGTAGAAACTAACCAAATTTATAATATTAATGTACAGAAAGTTAATTTGAACATCAAGATACAGAACAAACATTGAAAAATCCTTACCATGCAATGTGAACAATAAGCCTGGTACAGTTCCCTTGAGCCCCTGCTCTTTTAATGTCCCTTGTCATGTTCAGTGCTCCTCCACTCCTTGATCTCTCACCACGTTTCTCTATTAATAAGCATCCTCTCTCATCTTGCAGGTGAAGAATTTTCCTTCTTGAAGGATTTCTCTGACATGGTAACTGCTGACGAGAGCCAGTATGTGATGAAAATTGCCAATTCCCTCTTTGTGCAAAATGGATTTCATGTCAATGAGGAGTTTTTGCAAATGTTGAAAAAATACTTTAATGCAGAAGTGAATCATGTGGACTTCAGTCAAAATATAGCCGTGGCCAACCACATCAATAGATGGGTGGAGAATAGCACCAATAGTATGTCATTTCTTTCCTTTGTTTCTCTTACAACTTGGCTTTAACTCTTTTATTTCCAAAGGCATATGTTTCCTCGCTCCCTTTGCTAGCATTCAGCTTGGTATGTAATAATTATTTTGTATTGGTTGTGGTCTATTTTAGCAACATTATATATGAATGAGCATTGAAAAAAACAGTAAAATCTTTTGGCATGTGTAGAATATTGGTCCTCTTAATCTGAAATCTGTACTCTCTGATTGAGCCAACTATTTAATAAATTAGTTTCTAGACAGAATGAGACAGTTTTTGGCTCCTTTAACAGAAAATGATTAAAATAAAACAAGAGAGGGTTAGATCAGAATTTAAAGATGTTTGTCAGCTTCAGAAACACAGAGTTTGATTAATAACATAAAAATTGTATAGGATTCATTTTTCTTAATAAAGAAGTCCATGTTAAACCCAAATAAATGATGAGGAATTAGAAAAAAATGCACTATTTTTAGTTTTATTTCTCATTAATATTTTTAAATATATTTATGTTTTCCAAATGTTTCATACTTTATCATTTAGTTTTCATCTTTTTTCCAGCAACATAGTTGAAACTAGGTTAAAAAATGAAACTACAGAAAATAGATTACTATACCTGTAATAAAGTCATTTTGCCAAAACTCTCTAAAATAATGTTAATCTAAAATTTTATTCAGGATAAAAATAACCTCATCAGATACTCTCTGTCCTATAATAACCAAAATATTAGGGCACCTTCTGCCTTAAAAAGTGCTGTGTTTATACACAGAGCATATACAGAGAATACAGAGCATATTTCAACTGAGAGAGTAAAATATAGGATAGAAGAGAGCTGTAATTGTTTAATATTTAAAGAATAAATCAAGAATAATAACTTACCTAAACTAGATTGAATTATGAAAATCTGTTTTAAAAGTTTTTGAAACAAATTTTTTTTACCAGAAAACTTTTACTTAAAGTATACAAAGTTCATTCATTTTGTAAACAACTTTAGGAACATAGTGATTCTTCCACCAAACACACCCTCCCAACCGTACTCTCACCTTTCTTCCTCCTCCCTCTCCTATTCCCATTCTTATTTTTTACTAAGATCTATTTTCAAATAACTTTACACATAACTTTGTAAGAGTAACTCTATGCTAAGTAATGAGTGCAACAAATAGTATGAAAAAAGCTTTTATTATATCTCATTTCATACAAGCATTCCTTTTTAAGTTGATATCTACTTTTCAATAAATGTTTAAATAAAATGTAAAAAAAAAAATTGTAAAACTCCTGTAATTAAACTAGTGTGGACCTTGTCCATGAGTGGACAGAACAACCAGTGAGATAGAGCACAATCCTGAATAAGACCCATGGAAATTCACCATACAATAAAAGTAGAACCTCCAATCACTTGAAGACTATTTAAAAATTATAGGAGATCTATACCTTAGACCATATATATGAATAAACCTGAAATGTAACAGAGATAGATAAGTCTGAGAACGTGGTTGGAAGAAAAATGATAAAATTAATTTCTGACTTGGATCTCACCTGGGTCTAACTATGACTTAAAATTCAATCACAACAACAAAATTATTTAACTACATAGAATATAAAGATCATAACTAACAGCTTCACAAAAACACTATAACACCATAACAAAACCAAAAGCCAAGTGGGAGAAAATATTTCTTTTGTATTATCACAGATAAAAGACTTAAAGTCCTAAAAGAATAAAGAATTTTTTACAATTGAGGAAAAAAGAAAAACCAAAAATTAATGGAAAAAACATGATATGTATAAGTAATTTTTAAGTGACCCTTAAATACATAAAAATATGTTCACCCTTAAAATATATTTACATATATAAACTATATTCAAATATGTATTGTATAATAAAATGGAACTATAATGTGATACTATTAATTACAAAATAGGAAAATAATTTTGAATGCTTAGCACATCTGCTACCAGTGCTGTGAGAAAGCAAGCACTCTTTGTTAATGTAAAAGAAAAACTTTGGAGAAGAAGTTGGTTCTATCTACATAAGTACATATGTACTCATTTCTTGATTGAGCAGTTCCCTTTCTAGGAGTTTACTAAGAAGAGGAACTACAATGATATACAACACATTTGTGTAAAATTCTTCACTGCATCATTGTTTATAAGTGTAAAAGATTAGAAACATTCTAAGTTTACACAGAGTAGACTGAGTAAACCGTGGTTCATCCACTCCATGGAGTACTCTGAAACTTTTTTAGTTTTTAAAAATTTTTTAAGGTGATCAAAATTACAGGTATTTCATATATACAGATTTAGGAACATAGTGATGCTTCCCACCCTGCCCTCATTTCCACCCTCACTCCTACCCCTCCTCCTCCCTCCTCTCTTACCCTCTCAGTTTTTACAATAGTCTACTTTCAGTTTACTTTATACTCATAAGATTAACCCTACACTAAGAATTCAACAATTAGTAAGAAGAAGAAAAAACAAAAAAAACACTGTTCCTCATTAGTCCAGACAAAGGCTGTAAATAGTCATGAAATCTCAGAATGCCAATTTCACTCCTATATGGTACATTTTTTGATACTTTGTTACCTCAGATCAGGGTAAATATATGGTATTTGTCTTTTTGAGACTAGTTTATTTCACTAAGTATAATGGTTTCCAGTTGCATCCATTTTGCTGCAAAAGACAGAATTTCAGGGCCGGCGCCGCGGCTCACTAGGCTAACCCTCCGCCTAGCGGCGCCGGCACACAGGGTTCTAGTCCCGGTCGGGGCGCCGGATTCTGTCCCGGTTGCCCCTCTTCCAGGCCAGCCCTCTGCTGTGGCCAGGGAGTGCAGTGGAGGATGGCCCAGGTGCTTGGGCCCTGCACCCCATGGGAGACCAGGAAAAGCACCTGGCTCCTGGCTCCTGCCATCGGATCAGCGCGGTGCGCCGGCCGCAGCGCGCCGGCCGCGGCGGCCATTGGAGGGTGAACCAACGGCAGAGGAAGACCTTTCTCTCTGTCTCTCTCTCTCACTGTCCACTCTGCCTGTCAAAAAAAAAAAAAAAAAAAAAAGACAGAATTTCATTATTTTTATGGCTGTTATTCCATGATATGGTTGATTTCATGTCTTAGCTATTGCGAATTGAACTGCAATAAACGTGGGGGTACAGATAACTCTTTCATATACCGATTTCTTTTCCTTTGGGCAAATTTCCAGGAGTGGGGTGGCTGGGTCATGTGGTAGGAATATTCAGATTTCTGAGTTATCTCTATACTGTCTTCCACAGTGTCTATACTAGTTTACATTCCTACCAATAGATTAGGGGACCTTTTTCCCCACATCCTTGCTGGCATTTATTGTTTCTTGATTTTTCTGTATAAAATCCACTCTAACAGATGAGATGAAACATAATTGTGGTTTTCATTTGCATTTTCCTGATGGCTTCTGTCATGAGTGGCACACATAGGGCAGCTCTGTTTTCAAATTTTTGTGGAAACTTTTGGCAAACAGCATTGTAAGCTAAATTTATTTTCACTCACCTGTTTTCATCCAGTCAAAAGCATAGTTATTAGTTATTTGTTTTTTGGTTTGTTTTTTTTTTTTTTTTTGGTAGAAAGATGTCCAGTAAACACAGTGAAGAGTTTGAATTGGGTGACATTTAATCATGTTCATTGTTCAAGCATAAACTCAGAAACGTTTATTGTTTCTCTGTGTTAAGAATTTTACATACATCCTTGCAACTAAAAAGTGATGAACAAAGCCAGAAATTTCACTGTATGAAGTTCCATGGTTTGTGTAAGTGTCAAGATACTGCTGGTATTGTTTCAGTTGGTGTGAGTGTTTTGGATGCCCTTAATTCCCACATATATAACTGTATGTGTGTGTGTGTGTATTTTTCCTTTGAAAGTTAGATACTTTTCATTTTCATTACAAGGTTGTATTCAGTTTTTCTGAGCCACTCTGAGATATGGGGGTTTAGTAATCTTTTGTTTTCCCTTCGCCTTCCAATTTAACATGAATTTTTATCTGTCTATTTTTTTTTCTTAAATAGATTTGTTGAAAGACTTGGTATCCCCAAGAGATTTTGATGCTGTGACTCACCTTGCCCTCATCAATGCTGTCTATTTCAAGGGGAACTGGAAATCACAGTTCAGACCTGAAAATACTAGAACCTTCTCCTTCACAAAAGATGATGAAAGTGAAGTCCAAATTCCAATGATGTATCAACAAGGAGAATTTTATTATGGTAAGACAGACGTCCTGGCTTTCATTTCTTTTTTACAGTGTGTCAACACATTTCTAAGAAGGAACATGCAATATTCATTGCTCATACTGCTTGTCAGTCTAATTTGTGTCACAATTTCATTTCCTTTGCTCCATTTTGAAAGGACTGTGATCAGATCCTGAATGAATATTTTATGTATTAACAGTTCCCAATATGTTTCTTCAATTTATAAAGTTGACCATTCCTGCAGAGTGGCTTCATTCACTTGAAAATACCTGACATTGTATAAGAATATTCTGATTTACTCCAAAAAGTCACTTGTTTTGAGATCATTTTCATTGAACCTTATGTTCCACTAATAACTTGATTTGGGCTCCTACTATGTTTTGAATTACAAGTATTCAGTATTCTTCCTAGAAAAGGATGTTTTCTTTCCACTTTAAAATTTTTATTTCAGGGGCCAATGCTGTGGCTCAGCAGGTTAATCCTCTGCCTGCGGCGCCAGCATCCCTTATGGGCGCTGGTTCTAGTCTCAGCTGCTCCTCTTCAGATTCAGCTCTCATATGGTCTGGGAAAGCACTGGAAGATGGCCCAAGTCCTTGGGCCCCTGCCCTTCTGTGGGAGACCCAGAAGAAGCTCCTGGCTCCTGGCTATGGATCAGCTCAGCTCCAACCATTGCAGCCATTTGGGGAGGGAACCAGAGAATGGAAAACCTTTCTCTCTGTCTCTCCCTCTCTCTATAACTTTGCCTCTCAAATAAATAAATAAAATCTTTTTAAAAAAATTTTTATTTCTTATTTGTATATAGGAGGTGTCCAAAAAATTCATGGAAAATGCATATTATGATTAAACTGTGCATAGATTTCAAAAATTTCTTTGTACCAAAATAAACTTACCTTTTTGTTTTAAAGATTTATTTGTTTAAATGACAGAGTGGCAGAGAGAGGGAGATCTGGCGAGAGATTTTCTATCTGCTTGTTCATTCCCCAACTGGCCACAACAGTCAGGTCTAGGCCTGGCTGAAGCCAGGAGCCAAGAACTCCATCTGGGTCTGCCACATGGATGGCAGACACACAAGTACATGGGCCGTCTTCTTCTGCTTTCTCAGGTGCATTAATGGGGAGCTGGATCAGAGGTGAAGTAGCCAGGGGTTGAACTGGCCCTCCTGTCTATAAAGCCAGTGTTGCTTGCTGTGGCTTAACCCTCTATGCCACAACACTATCTGCTAAACATACCTCTTAATTTAATTTTCCATGAACTTTCTGAAGTACCATTGAATATATGGACAATATTTGTCCAAACATAGTTTCATTTATTTTTTTAAAGATTTATTTATTTATTTGAAAGGCAAAATTAGAGCGAGAAAGAGAGAGAGGGCCGTTCCAAAGCCAGGAGCCAGGAGCTTCATCCAGGTCTCTCATGTGGCTGCAGGAGCTCAAGGATTTGGGCTGCCTTCCGCTGTTTTCCCAGGCACATTAGCAGGAAGCTGGATTGGAAGTGGAGCAGCCAGGACTTGAACCGGCGCCCACATGGGATGCCAGTGCCACTACGCCACTGCTCCAGCCCCAGTTTCATTTATTGAGTGCCTGTATTCATAATACAACTCACTTTCTTTAGCATTAATTTCAAAGATGTCTCCTTGGATTCTTCAGAAGTTAAGGGTATATTAGTCTGTCCTATACACTATATTGAAATGTAATAATCGTTGTCATAAGCAGAAATGTAATTTTAAGACAAGTATGTTAGAGCTGTTATTATATTTTTAAAAAGTATGTTGTAATATTAAAAGACTAATTGCAGCTGATCAAATTAGCAGTCAAAGTAAGAAAGGAGAATACTTATTCATATTAAAAGCGAAGTGTTCAGTGTGATGTCTGAAGAACCCAATCAGCCATAGGAAAATATTCATAACAAAAACATTACACTTATTTCTTTTTAATCAGGGAAATTTTAAAGTAGTGACATACAGTTTATTTTAAAGACCTTTAAAAAGATTGATTTATTTATTTGAAAGAGTTATAGAGAAGGAAGGAGAGAGAAAGATCTTCCATCCACTGGTTCACTCCCTAGATGGCCACAACAGCCAGGGCTGAGCCAGGTGGAAGCCAGGATATAGGAGTTTCATCTGGGTCTCCCACATGGGCAGCAGGGGCCCAACACTTGGGCCATCTTCTGCTGCTTTTCCAGGAGAATTAGCAGGGTGCTGATTAGAAGTGGACATGAACTGGTGCCCATATGGAATGCTGGCCTCACAGGCAGTGGCTTTACCAGCTACACCAAAGTGCTGGCCCTAAAGATTTAATTTTTAAAAAAACAAGCCTAGTTAATTTAGTTAAATTTATAGCTCACAAATCTAGTTACCTAGTTTATCTTATTACCTAATTTGGAGATCTTAATCATAATATGCATTAGATATTGTACAATGCCTAGATTTTGTTTTGGTTGTGCAGTTTTGGCCTCAAGACTTGTAGTTGTGATGATAATAGTGTACCAGGTAATACACTGTCAAATTTTTTCTCTCTAGAGATAGGGAGGATGTTGGTAAATGTGATTGACAACTAATGTGGAGATGGGGCTTCATTTTTCTAGGACTTCTCATTGTTTCTAATGATATCCTACAAATATATTGAATTATCTCATTTGAAAATAAAGAGTAAGTCCAAAGAACAGGCTAGAACAAATGTGAAGTAATTCTGGGAATTCTAAAATAAAATGAATTCTGTGGTGCTGAGAATTCATTTGAATTTCAGGGCCTATTTTCGAATAAACCTTCTTTTTCAGATGCCTGAATTTTTTCCATTCTATTCACTGTTTTGAAAAAAGATTATAACAAATTTAAATATGTTTTAAAAGCTTTGATATGGCCATTTATGGTTTTTCTTTTCTTTTTAGGGGAATTTAGTGATGGCTCTAATGAAGCTGGTGGAATCTACCAAGTCCTAGAAATACCGTATGAGGGAGAAGAGATAAGCATGATGTTGGTGCTGTCCAGACAAGAAGTTCCATTGGCCTCCCTGGAACCCTTGGTCAAACCACAGCTGATTGATGAGTGGGCAAACTCTGTGAAGAAGCAAAAAGTGGAAGTATACCTGCCCAGGTGAGACCCCTCCCACAGTGCAGAGGATGGGCTATCTGTGAAAGTCTGACCTGAAAAAGCTTTTGCCACTGCGTTTGCATTTGAAGTCTTTTGTTATCTTCTTTGTGTGTATGCGTTTTTGTAGTATTCTTTCATACTCACATGGTCCTGCCAAAGATATGATTCAATGCTCTTAGCCTTGCTTTAGGGGGTTTTTCAGTTGATTGCCTCAGGCTATCATTTGCAGTGACCATCATGTGTATTTTGTTAATATTATAGCTGATAGTACCTGAAGATAAAAGTAGCTATGATGTTACTGCAAGAACTGCAGGCAAGCCACTGTCTGCAGTGCTGAGATGCAACCATAAATAAGCAGGCAGAACCTATTCTGCCCCAAATCTTACCCATGTCTGAAAGAATAAAATTCATGCAAAGCCTTTAATGTCTTGGCTACCATCCTGTAATTCTGGCCACCCACCACGTCAGACTTTTTGTAGCATGTTCTGTTCATGTGCTTGTGGTTATAGCACGTACATAATGCTCTTTTAATGCTTCTGAGTTACCATTTATGCTCTTGTTTTGGCCTTAAATACCCTCCTCACATTTCTTTGCCAAATATCGTTCCTGTGCTTCCAGGGTGCAAGTCTGTACCACTTCTAGGAAACCTTCTATGAACTGCTCAGTGGAGCAGCTGGCCCTCAGTGTGGCTTCACTTCTGCTCCTCCTGTTATGACCTACTGCCAGCCCACAATGACCTTACCTTCTGGTGGGTCTCATTTTCCTTCTGTAAGTTCTTCTAGGGCACAGCTGGTTCTCTCCCCTGTAACAAGGGACATTACAACTGTGCTCAGAATGAAATCCAGCTGAAGGAATTTATCCTGTCCTTGAGTACCTTCAAGTCACACAGGAGACCCACATATGGCATACAAATAGGAAACACATACAACATGTGTATAAATGTGTACATCTTAGGTTGGAAACCAAAACACATCAGTTAACAGATAACGTGTGTGTGTGTGTGTGTGTGTGTGTGTATGTAGAAGTACAGTTCCAATATTCTTTCCATTCTAAGAAAATTTTTCAAATATGATTAATTACTATGAGCATATAAAAGTGATAAGACATTGATATTAAAGCTGAATTATTAAAAACTCCTAAACCTATTCATATTTATTCTAATTTTAGGAATTATCATTTAAAAGGAAATCTTATCTAGATATTTATTTTTCCAAAAACTTAAGATAATTTTTGTCTAGAAAATTAAAATATGTTATATATTCAGAATATATGATGGCACACTATGTAGTATATTCACAAGATAACATTATCCTATGTTACATATTCATTACATAGCATTGTTATATATTATATGGTCACAAAATATAATCAATATGTAGCCATCTTTTTCTTAGTCTACGTATAAAAATCAAGGTACTCAAACCAGATGATTGATTTTTTTCTTTTAGACTAAGATATTTAACATGCAAATCTTTCCATGATAAAACATAGATGTAGAATGATTCCACTAAAGTCTATTCTCAAGGAGAAGTAATTGATGAATACCTAATGAGCTGAGTGACAATTAGCTTTTACATGTTTAATATATAAATGATCTGTCTTAATTCCAAAGGGCAATTTACTTTTGAACATTAATAATCAAATGTAAATTATTATCCAAATCGGGTCTAAACTTGTAAAAGAGGTCATTTACTCTGGTGATTTTTTTCTATCATTAATTTTATATTTTTCTTTGCATTTTATAAAGGATTTATTTTGATCCTATGAGTAATAAAATACAGTGTCCATGAGTTAAGTGCAGTAACTACAAATGCTCCAGCTCTGTTAGAATGCAAAGTTATGTCAGAGAATTTTAGCTGAGTTATAAGTGAATGTTTAATAAGTATCATATATTCTAATTCAACCATATTCACTAGAAAATGCGGCCTCCAGGTCCTGTCCATTGAGAAATTGAATGTGGCAGCAGAAGAAAATTAAATTTTCATTTTCTAAGAGATACTCTTCAATTATGGAATATTTAGCTCACTTGCTCATATTAATGCCTGTTACTAAACGAGGCACAGCTAATTACCATGTATCCATTTTTCCAGGAGTCCTATGAACTCTCCCTCTGCGTGGCTAATGCATATACAGGGAGGCTGAAAAGCCAGATCAAATAAACGTGGCTTCCCTTTTTAACAGATTGACTGTTTTTAAATGCATACGTGTTATAAGAATCAGGGGAAACTATCTACCCGCTCCATTTTACAGCATTAAGATTCACTGACTGTTGAATGAAGGTGATGACTGATGTGACCCAGTTTTAGCAAAGGTGAAAGATTTTTTTCTAATATCTAAATTCTAGGTTTACTCAGCTGTCAGTCTTCAATGGTTTGTATAGTTTCATTCATACAGAGATATTACTCTGAAAATGCAGCTTTACTTTTCTGTAATTTGACCAAATTCTTGTCCTGAATGACAGGTGCTTTTACTCTTTATTATTCCAGAGTTTATACAATACAAGCAGCTTTATAAGAGGTATAGGTTGTTGGCAGGGGGACAGGGAGTCAGAGGTGGGGGTGGATCCAGAAGTAGCAATTACTTCTGTATTTTTCTATATTTTCCTCTGAAAACAAAACCTACAGGAATAGGAAACTGCATTGAATTGAACTTATATTTTTATCCAAAATGCAAAAATCTGTTCAATAATTGCTATACCCATGTCATATTACCAAATCCAGTGAAATATCACAAGGTTCATACACATTTGGACATCTTTAAGATTTAGGTAGGATTACCAGGTCTTCTTCTAGTTTATCAATGGAAGCAAAATAACTCTTCTGTTATATAAAATATAAATGTAAAATATCTAAAAGGCACTTTAAAAATACTACTTACCATGGAGTAATCAGAAAAATAATTGTTACCTATCATTGCATTGATTGTTCAGTGTACATTTGAAGTCCTAGTTTTTATTCTGTGTTCATTTCATAGATAGCTTTCTTTACATTTTTCTCCAAATAGATTTTTCAAAAACCTGATTTTTCTTGAATTGTGTCCTTTTCATTACATACTCTTTTTAGTATTTGCTGAGATAACTTAGGTAAAAGAAAATGTTTCTAAACTCAACATCATATATTCTTTTTATTTATTTAAAAATATTTATTTTTAAAATATTTATTTATTTGAGAGACAGAATTACAGAGAGAGGGAGAGACAGAGAGAGAGGTCTTCCCTCTGCTGGTTCACTCCCCAGATGGCCGCAACAGCCAGCTGGAGCTGGGCTGATCTGAAGCCAGGAGCCAGGAGCTTCTTCCAGGTCTCCCACGTGGGTGCAAGGGCCCAAGCTCTTGGGCTATGTTCCATTGCTTTCCCAGCCCATTAGCAGAGAGCTGGATCAGAAGAAGAGCAGCTGGGACATGAACTGGTGCCCACATGGGTTGCGAACAGTGGAGGCTTAACCTACTGTGCCACAGCGCAAGCCCTATACAGTTTGAATGCAGATGTACCTTGCTGTGCCACTCTCACTTTTATGGTCTCAGGTTTGTCATTTGTGATCAGAGTGTTGGAAATCAAAGCATGTGGAGTAGTTTTTCAGTTTGTAATCAGAAACCATTCTGTTGCTTTGAAATGGATATTTATTTAAAGAATTTAGTTTCATGATTGTAAAAGAAAGCAAATGATAAATCATTTGGATTTGTTCAATAATAGGAATGGTTCTCATTAGATTTTTTTATGAAAATTGATGAGCTTCTAAATTGTTTATAAATTATATTATCTTCTATGCAGATTATGTTTGCTTTTTCAAACACTTGGCTTCATATGTCTATCATTGTCCATGCTTCTGACTCTCCATACCTCTTCAACTTGAAAGAAAGTTGTAAATGTACAATTATGTTTTATGTCTTTATCAAAACAACCTTAATAAGGCTTGCTTTGGCCTTTTATTTTTACATTCAGTGAATGTAAAATCTGCTTGTAATGTTGTTTTATTTTTAGAAACCATTATTTGCCGTCAGAAAGACCTTCACTCATCTCCTCATTCTACCACCTGTTACCTGTGTGACTAGGGCAAGTTTGTAAGGATCAGTTTGGTCTTCAGTAGCCTAGCTATTATAATAGCTATCTCCTAGGGCTATTCGAGATCCTCATATGGGTGGTTAAATTAACTATTGTACATTAAAGGATTTTCTCACCGTCTGAAACATAGTAAACACTCAATATAAGGGAGATTATAATGATTGTTTCAATATTAGTCTATACTGAGAGGAAAGAGAATAATTGAAGAAAAGCGATTTTCTAAAAGTTTAGTAAGAAAAAAAAAGACAATGTAAGGAGAAACAGAGATTATTTACATCCTACTTTCATCTTTGGAAAAAAGAATCTTATGCACAACTAGGTTTTATTTCATTTCAATCCAAAGGCTTTCCTATCCCAGGCACTGTAAATATTGAAATAAATAAGATGCTTCACTTGACTAATTTATGGTTAAGGTAGCAGAAACTAATACAGCTATTTAACCAAATTACTTGTTTTCACAAGAATGCAAATATACCTCCTAATATCTATAATAATGTGACATACACAGCTGGAATATAATATTAGAAAGCTCTTCAATGTATTCCTCTTACATGCCAGCATGTAAGTCCTAAGACTTTTGCAAATCTTTTAAATCCTTCCAACAATGCTCTGAAGTAGGTATTGTCATGACCATTTTCCACAAGCCGAAACTGAGGCTCCAAAATTAAGGAGCTTGTGGGAGGCATTTGGCATAGCATTAAGATACTGTCTGGGATACCTGCATCCCGTATCCGGAGGGCCTCTGTTTGAGTCCTGGCTCTGCTCCCAATTCCAACTTCCTGCTAGTGCATATCCTGGGAGAGAGCAGGGATGGCTCAAATACTTCGGTCCCTGGCACGCAAGTGGGAGACAGAGTGAATTCTAGGCTCCCGGCTCAGCCCCAGATGTTGTGGGCATTTGGGGAGTGAAACATCTGATAGAAGATCTTTGTCTCTCTGTCTGTTTACCTCTCTCTGCCTTTCAAGTAAATAAAAACAAGTTGCTTTCAGGAAGTAAAAATAATCCTTTACTGATATTTTCCTTCACTTGGCAATTTTTGATGGATCAGGGTATTGGATGCATATCTTTGCTCTGCCGCGGATCAGCTGTCTGACCTTGGTTGCTTTATGTCATCCTTGTGCCACTCACTTTCTTTTATTATCCAAGGATAATAATGATATCTGCCCAAAAGACTATGGAGATATTTAATCTATTTTTATACTCTCAGAATGATTCCTGGTACACAGTAACCCTCATAGAAGCATTCAACAAATAAACAGATAGCGACACACACACACACACACACCTGAACTCATCAGATGCATCTGCTAGGGCACCCTCTGCTTTCCTACTCCTTTCCTTTTGAGGTGTGTATCGTAGAATAATTCTGCTTTCACAATCGATGTCTGCTTTTGGTAAAAAACAAAATGAACAATGTTAAGTCTAAGTTAAAGGATAAAATTCAATACTTAAATGAATGTTTGATAAGCACATAATTTTCTTTTGTTCTTATTTTTCCATAAACATGGGCCTGCTAAACTGCTTTCCCCTGATCATTCCTCTTGGTGTCTGTATCTTGTTTACAGCATCATTTCCTTCTCCTTCTTCTTAAAGCAACCGTCAGAAATGATACTGTTTTATCATTTAGTGACTAACACAGACTTTGCTCCTTTAAGGACACAGTGTATTACCTAAAACTTCATATTTATGCTCTATATTGATCAGAAAGTGAATCTTAGAGAAAGGGGAACCGGAAATGATACTATTTTATCATTTAGTGACTAACACAGCCTAAGCTATTTTAAGGAAACAATGTATTACCTAAAACTTTGTATTTACTCTCTGTATCAATCAGGCAATGACATTTTAGAAAAAGGGAAACATTTGCATCAATCCAGTTGTTTTCACTTTTCCAGAAACAACCCTTGCTTTTAAAAATGCGTTTGTTAATGCAAGTCTGTGTGGTTGGTGCATGTCTTTCACTAGAAAGACTGGTGATGCAGTTCATTGGTGTGGGGGAAATTCCACATGAGGACAATGAGACTTGCTCTGAAAGCCATTTTCTAATGTTAGTGTTTTGTTGATGACCACTGTACTTGTTTTCACTTAATTTTTAAATAATGCTTTATTTCTTTTTATGAAAGTTATACACATTTATTCATAAGTCATTAGGTCTATTATAACAAAAACCAAATACCTATTATTCTTTCATTTAAAACAATCTACTATCATTATAATGGCACATAGTTTGTTTTTTTTTTTTTTTTTTTTAAGATTTATTTTATTTATCTGAAAGACAGAGTTACAGAGAGAGGTAGAGACAGAGAGAGAGGTCTTCCATCCTCTGGGTCATTCCCCAGATGGCCACAATGACTGGAACTGTGCTGATCCAAAGCCAGGAGCCAGGTGCGTCTTCTGGATCTCCCATGGGGGTGCAGGGGCCCAAGGACTTGGGCCAACTTCTATTGCTATCCCACCCAGGCCATAGTGGAGAGCTGGATCAGAAGAGGAGGAGCTGGGACGAGAACCAGAGCCCATATGGGATGCCGGCACTTCTGGCCAGGGCATTAACCCACTGCGCCACAGCACCAGCCCCCATAGTTTTTAAGATGTAATATTTAACACATTTCCACTGATTAATTGTTCTTCTGTGATGATATCATGAGAACAATCTCGAGTTACTATAACCATGGAAATGTACTTTTTAGTGAAATACATTTTGTGTTTCCACTCTCTGGGTTGCATGAAGTTGACCTTTGAACGTATGAATTGTACAGCAGAACTTGGCTCTTATTTAACCTTGTCCATGGGGGATTAGGGAGTGAGCTGCAACATGTGACTAGGACACTAAGAAGAAAATGAAATACATGGGTAAGTGTGTGATTAGTCATTACCATATTAAAAGAAACAGTGTTTCTTAGGTTATTTACTGGGTCACAAGATTACAGAACCACTCATTTACAACTTTACATAGTACTATGCTAATGAGTCCTGATCTCAAAATCCATTTGTTCTGTCATACATTATGGCTTTGTGCATATACTATATATTTTCCTACTTAAGAATGTAAATCCTACTCAGGTATGTCATTCTCTTTGATGGTCCTTGTTTTTAAGAGCATAATCAAGTGCTCTTTGCAGTCAAAAGCCAGATTTGGCATAATTTACCATCTATAAATCCAACATTATCTATCATTTTATTCCTGTCCCAGGTAATAGGATGCAATAACTAAACACCTTTCCCCCTACATTTTCTCCAGGTTCACAGTGGAACAGGAGATTGATTTAAAAGACATTTTGAAGTCCCTTGGAGTAACTGAAGTTTTCATCAAAAATGCAAATTTGACATCCCTGTCTGGTAAGAAATGGATACCAATTTTAAAAATTTTATCCAATAAAATCTTAAAATGATGATGTTAAATTCTCTATTTACTGTGCTCTTCTGAGCTACAACATAGTTACCAATTGTCAAATAAATCTAACCAGAAATAGATTTTACTTCTATGAGCAAAACTATAAATACAGCCTTAACATCCAATTTATGTTTTCTGATCCATTCCTTATCTTTGATAGTAGATTATGTTCTCCAGAGACCTGTCCTATACATCACTGAACTTTTCATTCCCTCGGACACGATGCCTTAGAGACTAGATAATCAATAAATGGGTTGATTGAATATACCAAGATGTGCCATTGTAATAAATCAGAAGAGAAGGAAAGAGGAGAGCATAATTGAGTGCCTGATATGAAAACTAAACACTTTTTAAAAGAATAAAGAAAACCGACAAGATGATGTAAACAGTTCACTAAGTCTATGATGAAAAATGGTGGTTTGGCAGCAGTCTTTTAGCCTAGTTTCTCTCTTTTTTTTTTTTAAGTTTTTTTATTTGAAAGGCAGAGTTACAGAGAGGCAGAGACAGAGAGAGATAGAGAGACAGAAAGCAAGAGAGGTCCTCCATCTGCTGGTTCACTCACCAGCTGGCTGCAACAGTGGGAGCCGCACCGATCCGAAGCCAGGAGCCAGCAGCTTCTTTCAGGTGCAGGGGCCCAAGGACTTGAGCCATCCTCCATTGCCTTCCCAGGCCATAGCAGAGAGCAAGATCAGAAGTGGAGCAGCCAAGACTCAAACTGGTGCCTGTATGGGATGCTGGCACCACAAGCAGTGGCTTTACCCACTAAGCCACAGTACTATCCACATAGCCTAGCTTTTAAGATAGCCATGTCCCACATTGAAGAGCCTAGATTCAGAACCAGGCTCCACTTTCTGGCTGCAGCTTCCCACTAATGCCTACCCTAGGAGACGGCAGTGCCAGCTCAAGTAATAGAACCCTGCCACCCATTGAGTTCTCAGTTCCTGGCTTTAGCTTGACCCAGTCCCAGATATTATGTGTGTTTGCTGAGTGAGCCAGCAGTGGTAGCATGCTGTGTCTCTCTACCTCACAGGAAAATAGCACACACACAAAAAAAAACTGTTTTGAAAAAGCAACGTCAAAGTGTAATTGACATATTGGAGTGTTGAGTCATGTATTTTAAACGTCCCAAGGACAGAAGATGCTAATTGCAATGACTTGATGAGTACACACTGTATACATGTGTTGAAATATTACACTGTACTCTATAAATATGTACAATTACATGTTAACAAGTCATATTTCAGATAGAAAAATTGTTATTCTTTGATTAACAAGGATTTTTTTGCATTTGCCCATTTATTCATTTCCCCAACAAATGTCTGTTGGCTCTTATTTTACATTTTGCTATTTAGTTTGTGTAATGTAAACTAATTTAGTATCCTGTGGATTAGGGATTAGCTGGTGTGTTCACATTGTCATTCACTGACAAGTCATTTCATGAAAAAAAATTCTGAGGTAACTGTTTTGAGGAATTATTGATTTGGATATTCCAATTTGTTCACAGTAAAAACTCAAAGAATGTTGGTAAAGTATTTAGAGTGTACAAAATGCTTTAGAAAGTATTTTTAAACTGCTGACCCCAAGAAATTCATCAATAAAAAAAAAGCATCAGAGAACTTAAGGATTAATAAAATAAACTTATATAATGGTTTTTTTTGTCATTTAAATAGATGACAGAAAATAAAATAGAACATGTATTTTGATGAGAGAGGTATGTAGTAAGATAAAAGAAACTCAGCCAATAAGGCCTGTAAATGTGGAATTCATCAAGTCCAGTTATCCAGCTGGAGAGCCATGAGGTGATGGAAGTTTCCTTAGCAGTTCACCTGTTAAAGGAGAGATTTTACTTTTCCTTTCCTGCAGCAGCAATCTTTAGAAATACAACTTCTGGGGCCAGTGCTGTGGCGAAATAGGTTAATCCTCCACCTGCAGTGCCAGCATCCCATATGAGCACCAGTTCTAGACCCAGCTGCTCCTCTTCCAATCCAGCTTTCTTCTGTGGCCTGGGAAAGGAGTGGAAGATGGCCCATGTGCTTGGGCCCCTGCACCCACATGGGAGACCAGGAAGAAGCTCCTGGCTCCTGGCTTCAGATTGGCACAGCGCCAGCCGTTGCAGCCATCTGGGGAGTGAACCAATGGATGGAAGACCTTTCTCTCTGTCTCTCCCTCTCCCTGTCTGTAACTCTGCCTCCCAAATAAATAAATAAAATATAAGAAAAAAGAAAGAAGAGAGAGAGAGAGAGAAAGGAGGGAGGGAAGGAGGGAAGGAGGGAGGAAGGAAGCTTTTAAACCTGAAGTGTGAAGACCCATGGATTGAATTCAGGGAAACTGATGCCCCACCCCTGAAAATGCCCATAAGTGTGCATGCATGTGTGCTGTCTCTCAGGGCACACAGGCAGACAGACACACAGAGAGAGACAGGGAAGGGGAGGGGAGGGGAGGGGAGGAGAGGGAAGTCATATTTTTCAAGAAATTTCCAAGAGGAATTTGTGATCAAAAAACCTTTGCCCTCCCAGATTCAAGATTGGGCAGACTGTTTTCTAAGCAGCACTCAGCTTCCAGCAATAAGTTGATCCTGGTGTATTTTGTATCAGAACTTCAAGTCCTCATCCAGAGAGCTTATAGCCCTAAGCACTAATAGAGCTTTTCTGAATGTCTACTATATAAATGTTCCTGTCCACACAAGAGAAATGAGTCTTCCCTGAGTAAATGTTTTCGTGGCTCATATTCAGTCCCTTAGGGCTCTGAACCCTTCAGTGGGGCTGTCAATAAGGCAGGACTGGTAGAAACTTAAAAGGTTATATGGTATCTTTGTACCTGAATCAGAAATAAACCCATGGCTGAGTCACCATATAATCTACAACTCTAAAGCTCTTTTCCTGAGGAACCCAGAGAATCTGTCTTAGGATACTGGCCAAATTCCAACTGAATAATTATGTTCTGCTTTCTTTACATGACTCTCTCTGCAGTTGATTAGCGATCCCTCACTGTGTCACCTAAACATCCAGGCAGTTCTGTTGCACAAAGTAAATGGCTGCAGCCTCCACTCCTGAGGGAGTCGCACTGCAGTGGCAAATCGATTCTTGTAGTCAGTGTAGCTTATAATTTCTGACATCTTTGGAAGGATTATGTGCTAACATTTAATTGCCTTTGCTATGCACAGAGACAGTAAAGCAGAAATATACATTATGAGTGCAGATGGTTTGGGATTTGAAATGATACTAGAACCTCTATATGTTCATGTGATGAAACCGCCATGGGGGACTGAATCCTTCTCAGTGCCCTGCTCACAGTTGCATTCCCAACCCCCAGCCTAGAGCTGACACATAGTTGAGACCCAGGAAATGGTCACTGAAGGATAAAACAGAAGGGAGGAAGAAGAGAGCAGGTCTCCTCCGGCCCATCTTACACATTACATTTCTGGAAACATTTGCCTGCGTAAAACATCAGTAGGAAATCCCAGATTTGCCAGTCTCAAACATCACCCAATTGAGGTCTTCAGGATCACTTGATGGAAGATCCAAAGCAAACCTGTCAAGATTTCAGTGGGACTCCTTTGATCCTTTTATTATTTATTTATTTATTTATTTGAAAGTCAGAGTTACATAGAGAGAGGAGAGGCAGAGAGAGAGAGGTCTTCCATCTGTTGGTTCACTCCCCAATTGGCCGCAACAGCAGGAGCTGCGTTGATCCAAAGCCAGGAGCCAGGAGCTTCTTCCAGGTTTCGCATGAGGGCACTGAGGCCCAAGGATTTGAGACATTTTCTACTGCTTTCCTAGGCCACAGCAGAGAGCTGGATTGGAAGTGGAGCAGCTGATTCTCAAACCGGTGCCCAGATAGGATGCCAGTGCTTCAGGCCATAGTGCCAGCCGCTCCTTTGAATCTTCATTTATTAGTTTTGTCAAAGTCTCGGTTGCCCCAATGTGCTAGTACTCCAACCAACACATCCCTTCTCTTTCTCCTTCCCATGCCCCCATACACATTTAAAAATCATTCAAAAACTTTTTTTTAAAGATTTATTTATTTATTTGGAAGACAGAGTTTCAGAGAGGGAGAGAAGTAGGGAGGGAGGGAGCGATAGAGAGAGAGCAAGAGTGAGAGAGAGAAAGAGAGAGAGAGATCTTCCATCAACTGGGTCACTCTCCAAATGACAGAAAACAGCCAGAACTGGGCCAAGCCAAAGCCAGGAGACAGGAGCCCAGAGCTCCATCCATGTCTCCCACATGGGTGCAGAGGCCCAAGTACTTGGGCTGTCTTCAGCTGCTTTCCCAGGTGCATTAGCAGGGAGCTGGATTGTAAATGGAGCGGTCAAGGCTCAAACACCTGTATGAGATGCTGGCACTGTAGGCAGTGACTTCATCTGCTATGCCGTAGCACTGGCCCCAATCAAAAACTCTTAATTGTCACAACTATAAAACACTCCTCTTCCTTTATAGTCTATAGCATTTATTTCTGCATTGTTTATTTGGGTCCCATATTCTCTGCTTTTTATGGATGGTATTTTTTTCACACATCTAGTTTTTTGCATCTCCAAATAATATCAAAATATTGGTGATTAAAGTGTTCAGTACTCTTAATAGCCTTCAAAATGCCCAGGAGAATTATTTTCATGCAATGTACTCTGTATTTTAATGAGGATCTAATGGTGTTTAGTTATTTAAGATTAGTTATCTTCCATGCTACATCTACTTCTTTCATTAACAATTGTTTGTGAGCTAGTGTGAACAAAGTACTATGTAGCACAACTATAGAATTGACTGTGACATCAAGCCTGAGCCAAAAGAACATGCAGTCTTTCAAGGAGAAAGTCATAACAGCTGAATTTAGTAACACGAAGACTGATAGAAGTATTTTATTAGACAAATGGTTCTCAACAAGGACAGTTGCCACCCCCCAGCTCCCTCTACCCCCCCCCACACACACACCCTACTCCACCTGGGACGAT